TGTATTAGGTATGGGATCTCCTGTCTTCCACTTAGGCTCCATCAGGGAAGAGGACCTTTTTCCCTCCCTCCCTCAACTGTCATGTCCTCTGAGGCTTCTCCATCCCCTGTGGAAGGAATCATCACCTCCCCAGGAAGGGAGTAAAGGGTAGGGGTCAGAGGGGAAGCCTCTGCAGCCACAGACTTGGGTCTAAGGCTGTGGAACATTTAGYCTGATTCTTAGACTCTGAGCCTCAACTCCCCAGGCTGTTCCTACTTTCCTAGTGGGTAGTGGTCATTCCACTGCCCCGTGGACTGGCATGAAGATCAGCGAGCTGAGCTTGTCTGCAACACTGGGCAGACGCTGTGCAGGTCACCCAGGGCCAGTGTACATAGGTGGACCTTCACTGAGCCCTGACCACGTCCCTTGGAACTCAGGCCTAGGCCCCTGGTGTAGACAGCTCTGGAGCTTCACTACTCTGGGCCAAGGATGAGGCCCTGCAACAGGAAAATACCAGCCTCTTCCCCAAGAGACTCAGGCCCCTGCATGCAGCAGGAGAGGTGGCACATGACACCTGGCGAAAACTAGGACTGTGGCAAGCTGGATGAAATGTGCAGGGATGAGACTGGACCTACAATACCACGGTGACAGCTTCCGGTGGCTCCTTGACCTCCTGCAAAAGGCCTTTCTTGTAACAGACCCAGTGGGCCAGAAACATGCTCTGATAGGCAAGAGACCAAAGTAGAAAATGAGAAACCAAGAGCTTTATTGCATTGAGGGGTCCCTCCAGGGACAGAACCCCAGGGGAGGGTGAGCCAAGAAAGGAGGAGAGCTGAGGGACTGCCTGCCCCCTGTAGGCTGGTGCTGAGGCCCAGGGAGCACCTSTATCTTACCACCACCCCTTAGCGAGCCTATCCCTTCGGTTGCAGCCTGCAGAGTTTATGTCCAGTTTCTGACCTGGAGCACCCCTCAATCCCCAGGATGAACCCACCACCACAGCTGCTGTCCACTCCAACATCAGTTTCCATAATGGTAGTCTACCCAGAATTATTTAATCAATGGGTTCATTTAATTGTCTTTTTTTTTTTTTTTTTAAGTGCTGGGGATTGAATCCAGGAGTGCTTGACCACTGAGCTTTTTTAAGTTTTTGAGACAGGTTCTCCCTAAATTTCTGAGGCTAACTACAATTTGTAATCCCCACACCTCKCCTCTTCACTGGGATTACAGGCTTCTGCTAGTTCACTTGGTTTGTTATCTGTCTTTCCAAYCAGAGGAAGGCACCTAACCAGGCTCTGTCGGTAGCCCAGTGAACCTGGATTCAATGAGCCACCTGTCCTGGGGCCAATCCTAGACACTGGTGGTTTTGGATCATTAGGGGGAGGGGTGTTTGAGTAAGCCTCAACACAAAGGATACTCGGCAAGTAAGAGGCACCCCCTCTGGATTCACTCCTGCCCACTCCATTCCCCCCCACCCACCCAAAGCCAGGAGGAGGCAGAACTCACCGGTTTCCCTGGTGGCGTCACCGCATCCCGGCCCAATCGGCTCTGACATGGCGGGCCGGGACACGAGCCACCCTCCGAGGAGTGCCGGCACTACCCACCAGTGTGACCACAGCGTCGGCGACATGAGCGCGCCTGAGCCGGATCCCACCCCCCTGGGCCTTGCACATCCGGAGATGCCCGGGGCCCTGCGCGCGCTACTCTTGGCCACTGGCGGCGCGGGGGTCTCGTGGCCACGTTGCGTCCTGCCCTTTGGCGCGGTAGCGGTGCTGGCCGGTGCAGCCGCCACGACCATCACCTTCTCGCTGCGTGGACCCCGCCTGGACCTGGCCCAGGGCGCGTCGCTGGCTGCTCTCGGCGTGGGCCTCGGGCTCCTGACCGCTGCCTTCCTATGCTGGCATGCTCGGCGGCGGCAGCGGGCTGGGCATCGGGAGCGGGAGGGAGCCRTGGATGCCCTGAGCCCACCCGCCCCCCACCAAGGTCAAAGCGAACCGGCTGTCTCCTCCCTCCAGGTCGCAGAAACCCCTTCCCCACACCCTGTCTTTCTGGACCCTTAGAAAGCCTGAGCGGAGGGGGCTACGGGTCATTTCCCTCCCCGCTCCCTGTCCAGTCTCCATCCAGTCAATGCTGCTTCTCAGCGTTTCGCTTGGCGCGCAGAGCTGGTCGCAAACGCAGAGCAGGCCTTATTGAGAGCGGGATGGGCCGGAGCCTGGGCGCACAGGGCCAGAACCTGACATACAGGGTGCGGGGCGTCAGAACGTGTACTCGGCTTGGCGTGACCAATCTCCATTAGGGGTAGGCCCAGCGTGCTAAATCCTCTCCAGGGAGCCATCTGCTTTCTGCGCCTGGTTGGAGCCCCGCCAGGCATAGTAGGCGTTCAATAAACGCACAAGACTAGAACAAGTGGTTTGCAAGCGTCTGGAAGGGACAGTAGTTCCTAGATTGTGATTAGTTGTCAGTTCCCTGGGACTGTCAACCTCCTCTATCCTTTCTTCTCAACCTGTGGCTTGAAGCCAGGGGCTGTCATTCTAAGTTGCTGAAGCTGATGTAACAACCAGAGGAGTTGCAGGTGGGGGGAAGGGAGACAAGGCAGAGAGCCTCTTTATTGCTAAAGATGGCCTGAGGACCACAGAAGTGGAGGGTATGAAAGGCCCCACCGTCAGGGACTGGGACAGGTGGCTGCATCCATGAAGAGCAAYGAGCCAGGCCTACCTTGGGGGTTGAGGGGAAAGCTTTCCCCAACTCTATCACATCATCTGCCAGGGCAGCCCTAGAAGGCAGAGGAGAATATGTTCGGAAGGCAATTTCAGGGAAGCGTTCTGTAGCCAGCAGCCTCCTCCCTGGAGACCTGGTAGGTAATGCAATAGTCTTCTGGGCTCCAAGTCTACCCTGCTGCTGTCTGATCAGGGCTGTCCCCCAGGAACTTACTTCTGCCTACACCAGAAGCCACCAGATGTCTACAGACCCCAGTCCCAGCTTACAGGGAGGCTGAGCTGGAGACAAAGCTGGCTCTACTCTTAAGCGTGAAAGGCTGTTGCCTCCTAAATTCTGATAGCCTGGGGGCTCTGTAGGTCCAAAGACAGCAGGATTTCTTAGGAGACTTGTTTCAGGCCCAGTGGGATCCCTGTGCTAGGCCTGGGTCTTCCTTTCCCCTGTCTTGGAATGATGGATATCAGCYCCCATACTCCCACCAGGGTGCCTTCCATCCCAAAGGGGTTGGGGCTTGGGACTAGAAGAGTCTTAAAAGAGTGTGTCTATACAGGTGCTGGTTCTGAACTTGAGTGTAAGCCCATGACTACTTGTTGTAAAGGACACATTCTTATTGGGAAGCTAAAGGGCAGGACCTAAGGGAGAAGCCAGCAGTACCTCCAGCCCCTCCAAGCCCAGTCCATCCACCCCTCATTCCCTGCCCACTATCTCTGTATCAGGCTTAGGAAAGAGCCTGAACCAGGGAATCATTTACTCCAGGAGTCAAGCCAGGTGCCCATCACTCTGTCTTCCTGCTTCTCCAAGTCAGGCCTCCTGCTCCCTCTGCTCCTTTGGCTTGCCCTGGGAGACTTCAGTGTCCTTTAGCTCCTTCTCTCCCAAACAGCACAGGGTTTCTGATTCTCTTCTTTCTTATTCTCTGACTAGTAGGAGTGGCAACTCTGCCTATACAAACGTGCCCAGGTGGCCTCTTCCACCAGCTGCAGGTCTGGTCTTGGGTCAGCGTCCCTTCTGAAACTGGGCATTCAGATCTTGGGGTTGCTCCTACGTCTACTGCATTGGGGAAAACCTYCAACCTTCCCTGGAATGTTTGGCCCCTTCTGTCAAGGACTTAAAGGTAGTAGGGAAGGGGGTCTCTCTGTCCAGAGTGAACCCTGGTCCCTCTTGACTGGGGCCACTCAGCCGTAGCTATATATCCCCAACTGGTATCCAGGCCACCCAGCTGGGCTTGTTACCCTGCCAAAACCTACTATGATGTAGGCCAGCAGGCTYACATTCATTTTTGACCATTTTCCCCCATTGGTCAAATCCCACTCTACATGGTCCTCAACAACTGACCAAATTCTGTAACACCCCTGTACCTGAAGCTCCCATTTTCTTCCTGCCAGCTCCAGCTTATGGATCCATCCTGATGAGGCCACTAGATATTCATAGGCCCAGGAACGTTTGGGCACGAGTTTGGTGCCATCCCTTAGCTCAGCTCAGGTGGTCCCTGATTGAGCTCCTGGCTTAGGCCTGATATCTGTGTGCTTGTTAAATCCTTCCAGCAGCTCCACAAAGCAAGATGAATAACAGGCATTTGGCTGATGAGGAAACTGGGAGTCCTTATTCACACAACCAGAAATTGGAGCAGCTTGGATTGAAATCAGACCTGAACTCAACCATGGGTTCCTTCTACTATAGCAGACTGCTGTTTTGGGGACACCCAACAACCAGCTAGCCACACTTGATTTCCCTACCATGGGGAATACCCAGGTCCATGCCTGCACGATGGACTTAAGGGAGGAGATGGCCCAGACCCCAGCCCAGCACGTGGCACAACTCAAGGAGCAGCCAAAGCCTGGGACCCTACTGGGTGGTCCTCCCTGAGCTGCAGGGCTGAGCTGCCCCTTCCAGACCCCTCCCACTGGCGCATTCCTGGCTCCCCAGCCCCTCCCTCCGACCCCAACCCCCTCCCCTCTTGGCCCAGCCTACGTCTGAATCTGCTTCTGATTCTGGCTGTGCCGATGAGCCCCCCTCCTCTCCCCTCCTTTCCCAGCCGGAGCAGCCCCGCCCCCGGCTGGGCCCAAGCTCGCTCCTGCTGAGCCCCCCACCCCCTTCTGGCACAACTCGCCCGCCCTCGCTGCAGTCGGGAGGAGGCGGCCAGGGCGCCCCAGGCCCCGCCCGCCCACGGCCCTTCCCGAGGCCCGGAGACCTGCTCTGCCCGACCCTCGGTGGGTGAGTGCGAGCATCGAGCGGCGGGCGGCGGGTGGGGCCTCCGCTGGCAGAGGCACCGGCAGCGGCGGCGACGCCTGTCATCGCTCCAGGCCCAGCGGGAGGACACGCCAACATCCCCGCTGCTGCGCTYGGCCCGGGGCGTGCTGCCGGCTGCTGCCACCTCTGGGCCGGGGCTGGGGCCGCCCAGGGGCTCTGCTTGCTCCGTACTGTGAGCCCGGAGGGCAGTCTAGGAGCGGGCTCTCTCTCCCCAAAGGCCGAGTCGTGGGTCTCCGACTGGCTGGTTGACCCACTGCGGCTCCGGCCATGCCCAACTGGCCTTGGGGGCTGTTGCTGACCGCGGGGACGCTCTGTGCCGCGCTGAACCCCGGGCCACCAGCGTTCGTCGACCCCTGCCATGATGAGGGGGGCGCGCCCCGTGGCTGCGTGCCTGGCCTGGTGAATGCAGCCCTGGGCCGTGAGGTGCTTGCGTCCAGCACATGTGGGCGGCCTGCCACTCGGGCCTGTGACTCCTCGGACCCGCGGCGGGCACATCCCTCTGCCCTTCTGACCTCTGCAGGGGGCACAGCAAGCCCGCTATGCTGGCGCTCTGACTTACTGCATCGGGTACCCCTCAACGTGACCCTCACAGTACCCTTGGGCAAGGCTTTTGAACTGGTCTTCGTGAGCCTGCGCTTCTGCTCAGCCCCGCCTGCCTCAGTGGCTCTGCTAAAATCCCAGGACCATGGCCGAAGCTGGGCTCCGCTTGGCTACTTCTCCTCCCACTGTGGCCTGGACTATGGCAGACCACCTGCCCCTGCTGATGGTCCTGCTGGCCCAGGGCCTGAGGCCCTCTGCTTCCCAGCACCTCAGGCCCAACCTGATGGTGGTGGCCTTCTGGCCTTCAGTGTGCAGGACGGCAGCCCACTAGGTCTGGATCTGGACAGCAGCCCAGTGCTCCAAGACTGGGTGACCGCCACAGATATCCGCATATTACTCACAAGGCCTGCCAATGTGGGAGACACTAGGGACTCAGAGGCCATGGTCCCTTACTCCTACTCAGCTACCGAGCTCCAAGTGGGTGGACGTTGCAAGTGCAATGGGCATGCCTCACGGTGCCTGCTCGACACCCAAGGCCACCTGATCTGCGACTGCCGGCATGGCACTGAGGGCCCTGACTGTGGCCGCTGCAAGCCCTTCTACTGCGACAGGCCATGGCAAAGGGCTACGGCTCAGGAAGCACATGCCTGCCTTGGTGAGGCCTTGGAGGGTGGCCTGGGGACCTTAGATCAGGTGGGCCTGCCCCTGACCCACCTCTCCTTGCAGCTTGCTCCTGTAATGGCCATGCCCGCCGCTGCCGATTCAACATGGAGTTGTACCGACTATCTGGGCGCCGCAGTGGGGGCGTCTGCCTCAACTGCAGGCATAATACTGCGGGTCGCCACTGCCATTACTGCCGAGAGGGCTTCTACCGTGACCCAGGCCGKGCCCTGAGTGACCGTCGTGCTTGCAGAGGTGAGCCTGCCACCTGCATGTTTTCAAACTCTGGTTTCCCAGAACCCCAGATGAGCTTCTGACAAGGACCTTTCCATATCTGCCCTCAGCTTGTGATTGTCACCCTGTTGGTGCGGCTGGCAAAACCTGTAACCAGACCACAGGCCAATGTCCCTGCAAGGATGGTGTCACAGGCCTCACCTGCAACCGCTGCGCCCCAGGCTTCCAGCAGAGCCGCTCTCCTGTGGCACCCTGCGTTAGTGAGTGACTCTGCTCTGCCCCAGACACCTCTGCTCCTGGATGTTGCCTATTTGTCCAATTCACCTCATCAAAAGTCTTTTTCCCACCCTCTCTGCAGAGACTCCTATCCCAGGACCCACTGAGGAGAGCAGCCCTGTGGAGTCACAGGGTGAGTGGACACAGAACAGGGTCCGGATTGGTCTGACCTTGGGGCAGGGGGCTATGGGGCAGGGGGCAAGAGCGGAAAGGAGGGGGAAAATCAGCCAGCCTCCGCCTTCCCCCTAGACTGTGAGTCACACTGCAGCCCTGCCCGTGGCAGCTACCGCATCAGCTTGAAGAAGTTCTGCCGGAAGGACTATGGTAGGATGCCTCAGCCCTCAGTCCCCACCTCGCCTCCAACCCCACCTCTCCCCTTCGTCCCTCGAGGGCCCCCCAGTACAGCTGGCCCCACCTTTCCAGCCCTTAGTGTCCTCAAAGTGATATGCTTCCCTCCTGCGGGTGACCTCTTTGTGTCCTCACCACTCCGGGTGGGCGCCCTGTGCTTCGCGCGCCCGCCCGCTTCCGGCGCCGCCCCGCCTAAGCCCGCCTTCTTTCCCTCCTCGCAGCCGTGCAGGTGGCGGTGGGCGCGCGCGGCGAGGCGCGAGGCGCATGGACACGCTTTCCAGTGGCTGTACTCGCCGTGTTCCGGAGCGGCGAGGAGCGCGCACGGCGCGGGAGCAGTGCGTTGTGGGTGCCCGCCCGCGACGCGGCCTGCGGCTGCCCGCGCCTATTACCCGGCCGCCGCTACCTGCTGCTGGGGAGCGGGTCGGGGGCCGCGGCGGGGAGCCGGGGACCCGGACTCAGCGCCGCCCGCGGAAGTCTCGTGCTGCCCTGGAGGGACGCGTGGACGCGGCGCCTGCGGAGGCTACAGCGGCGCGAGCGGCGGGGACGCTGCGGGGCAGCCTGAACCYGCGGGCGGGGCGGGGCGGGGACTGGGCGCTACTGGGACATCACGGCGCACGTTTTCAGTGCCTTAGCCTTCGGACGAGTCTTTGCTCGCGTCGCCTGCTGGGTCTGGTCCCCGTCCTTCGCCTCCCCCGATGCCTCACGCTTGTGCGGCAGAGGGATGCGGAAGCCGCAATGACACCCCGCCCTCCCCCGGAGACTTGGATGCTCCTTGGTGCGCCCATCCTCACTCTGCCCTCCCCGAGGGGCAGAGCGATGTCCGATATCCCCATAAGGCTGCAAACCCCCTCACGTAGCTTAAGAACCCTCAGGGTCTGACATCATCCCTAGGGCCACTGCGATTCAACCCCTAGATGCCATGATCCGCCAGAGAGCGCTGCGACCTCCCCAAAGGCACTGTGGCCACCCTAGACGTCCTGGACCGCTATGGGGTTGGTGACCCAATTCCGCTGCCTGAACAGCAAGTCCCCCGCCTTCTGCTAGGACCCGCAGAGGACGCTGAGCTCCGCCCGCGCCGGAAGGCKGCCTCTGTTCACCTCCGCGGGTCTGTGTTCTCGCGTGGGTCCTGGCGGGCCGTGGGTCCGTATCTCTTTCCCCAATCGCGTCTCTCCTTTGTCCTGCCTCTTTCTTGGACTGCTGTGACCCCGAATCTGTCCCGCTGTCCTCTCTGCTGCGTCTCTGAGCCTTGACCTCAGGACTCCTCGGCTCGGGTCCCGCCCCCCAACCCCCCTGCGTCCTTAACTCTCTCAGGGATCTGATGTCGCAGAGCGCAGCCCCAACCACGCGTGACCGGGCCGGGCGGCAGCGGCACGAGCTCAGGGTGCCTGCCCCACGGCTGTCGACGCGGCACGGCAGCCCCCGCCACCTAGGGCTCGCCGGGGCCTCCGTGCAGTGGGAACCGCTGCCTGACCGGCGCATGCGGCGGCTGTCTGGCGCCTGCGCGCATGCCCAGAGCCAGCGGGGCCTGAACGCGGGGCGCTGGGGTGGGCGGCAGGCGGCGTGTGCTCGGCGGGGGCGGGGCCGCGTGCGCGCGTGCGCAGAAGGGCCGTCGCCGTCGCGCAGAGAGCTGAGGAAAGCGGAGCCGAGGTGGGTGCGCGGCGGTGGTGGGGGCGTGGCGGTGCGGGGCCCAGTGGGCTACGCTGTCACCGCTCCGGGGGTGGTGACCCGGGCCTCGGCGCCGCGCGGCTCGGGGTTGCTGAGGAGCCTGGCGCTGCAGCTGCAGTTGCTACGCGGGCCCAGAAGACGGACCCCTGGGGCAGGCCGGGTCCCCCACCCGCCGGCCCGGCCCGGGGCGAGGTGTCGTCGGAAAGAGCTGAGTGTCACGCTGCCTCGCGGCACTTTCCGTCTCTGCCGGGTAGGAAATCCTCTTCTGGGTTGGTGGAATTGCAGCAGGTTCCCCGATACCTACCGCTCTCCGAGAGCTGCAGCTCCTCCGCGCCCTTCACTTGCTCAGGACGACACACCTGTCCACTTGGCGCCTGGGTATTTTCCCAACCTCGGAGTCTTGGGTACCCCTTGCTGCTGTGCCGGGGGAATGGGGGCAGCAGTTCTCCATACATGCCCCTGGGAAGTGGAAACTAGGAGCTTGACCCCCTGCTTTCTGCGGCAGCACAGCTGGAGGGCAGCGCTGGCACTGGGGGAATGGGCTACGCCTTTTAGGATCTCCTGTGAACAGGGTGCTGGTGGCCTGGCCACAGGTTTTCTTTGGTGACCAGAGCAGTGTGGAAACAATTGCGCTGTGGGCCTCCCTGTGCTGACTTTAAAGGCCAAAGATTGTCTAAACGTTTTGTGTAGGTATAGATTGGCTATTAGTGACCCCGGGATGCTGTCTTTACTCATCAGTTATTCCTGGGCAGGGAAGTCGGCCTGCTTTTCCAAGATGAATGGAAACCCTAGAAGGTGATTTTCCTCTTTTCACTGTGTGTTTGCTTCAGAGTCAGCAGGTGCCTCCCAAGCAGCTTGCAGAACCACCCCATAATTTGGCATGCATTGCCATTTTGTGCATTTCGTCCATTTTTACTCTACTTCTGAAGCATTTAAGAGGCACTGTAAATGTTTACTTAATTACTTTGAAGTGAACAGATTTTTTTTTCTTTTTTGTGGTACTAAGGGTTGAATCCAGGTGCACTCTATGACAGAGCTTCGTCCCCAGCTCTTATTTTCATTTTAGAGTGTTGCTAAATTGTCTTCCTGCCTCAACCTCGTAGTCAATGCAATCACTGGCCTGTTCCACCGTGCCTGGCTGAAATGAGCAGATTCTTTCATTTTAAGGTTGAAACCAAACCTAGATGAGGAAACAAGCAACAAATTTCAAAGAATTTACAGTTATTGTTGATAGACAATGGTCTGACCCCCACATGTGYTTCCCTTTATTCTGAGGTTGATCTTCATCTAATCTCCTCAGCACTCAGATTAAGCCTCTGTGGGAAGTGCTTAATGGGTAGTGAATGCTCTGTTTAGAATCCTGTCTCTCCCTGTGAACAGGGCTGGAGCTACATCACCTTCATCTTTGTTCCCCCATTGCCTGACATGGGTGGGCTGGCTTGAGGTTCTAAGTGGTTGTTGAAAAGAATCAGAGCATTGTCAGACTGATAKATGTAAGCTAGTGCAGTAGCTTTCAGCTGTATTAAGGGTGACCTTCTGGGATGTTGAAGTGATCTAAGCAGGGTTTTCATAACAATGATATTCACCCCCCTGGGTCTGCTAATTCTAATTCGCTGGCTGGTGGGCCTGGCTAACTCTTTCTAACCACACCTGCCAGAACTTTCTAGCAGTTCTGAGTGACCTTGGGCACACAGTGTTGCTCCTAAACCTCCTTCTGCCAATTGCAGAAGACTTCTTTAAGTGTTTGCCTTTGGGTGGTTTTTGGTTTAACTTACATAAGACAATGGTGTAGTTGGTAAAAAGAAAAAAAAAAAAAGCACTTAACATTTGCTCTGTTCAATGTTTTACCTGTTTGAGCATACCTTTTCTGTTATGGCAACTCTGTAAATGGAAGAAAAAAGCCCTTTCCCACTTGAAGCAGCAATTTCAGTGGCTGTTTGCAGCGTCACCTTCCAAATGGAGATAATATCAAAGAAACAAAACCTCAGGCTTTCTACTGAGAACCACCTTGAATTTGCTATGCAGTTTCTCTATCCTTTAACATGGGTTTATTTAATTTATACTTCATGTGATGAGGCACTGTGCTGTGTATGCTGTAACATTGTTGAGTGAGGTTCGGTCTCTGCCCTTGAGCTCACTGTGTAGTAAGGAGACAGGCAAATAAATGCATAGTGGTAGACACTCCCACAGGGGTGGGTAGATCTTTCTGTGGGCCCAGGGGACCAACATCCAGTTGGACTGTGGTGGGGGATAGGAGCTCAGAGAAGGCCATGAGCTTCATTTTGAAGGATGGTTAGAACATGTAATGAAAGAACCTACCAGCCAGAGGGGCAATAGGATAGTACATAGAAAGTGAAAGGGGAATGGTTCCTACCCTCAGCTATTGGGAGAAGGGCAATGGGTAGCTCTGAGTATGTGGGGGAAGATGGAAAAATGGAAGGGAGCTGGGCTGGTAGCATACTGGGAAAGGCCTTGAGTGCCAGGCTCAAGAATTTTAATTTTACCCTGAGAGCAGTGGAAGCCATCAGAGGAGCATAGCTTGTGAGTGACCTGATGAGCTTTATGTTTTCTAAGGACTTACCCAACCTTAGCCAGTGGTAATAAAGACAGGTTGGTAAGGTATCTTCGAGGCACACCCTGAGACAAAAAATGGAAAGGAGGGGCTGGGGTTGAAGTTCAGTGATACAGTGCATGTCTAGTATGTGTGAGGCACTGGGTTCTATTCTCAGCACTGTATATAAATAAATAAAGAAAATAAAGGTCAATCGATAACTAAAAAAAAAAAAAAAAAAAAGAATGGAAAGGAGGGCAAAACTAAGAGACAAGTAGCTGCTGGAATAGGAAGAGCCAGGGAGAAAAGAGGATGCTGGGGACGCTCCAGGACTGGATGACAGGCTGTTCAGTGCCATGATGCACACAGAGTGGAGCAGGCCTGGGGAAAGCTCAGGACTTTGAGTTTGGAAAATCATCATCCAGGCAGCAGGTAGGTATCTACTGGTCTGGAGCCATGAGGCTACAGAGCATTTAGGGGGCATTCCTGTGTGGTGTTAAAGTTGGGGAGTGAGTTGGGTCTTCTCAGTGAGAAAAAAAGGCTGTACCTATGAACTGCTAATCTTATATTCTTAGGAACATAAGGCTGCTTTGTAACCAATTGCTTTGTTGGCAGATGGGGGTAGGGTAGTGGGCTTTTTGTTTCTGTCAGAGAGCCAGTTTTGCTTGTTAGAGTGTAAGATAGGATGTCAGATACTAAAGGTACAAACACACATTTCTGTTGTCTTTCCAAGGGTCTTTCTATCTCAAATGTTTGTTTGCCTTTTGGGGAACCTCCAGATTGGGGAGCACTCATCTCAAGAGACCCCATTTGGCTCTAGACTGAGGGTTCCTATCAGAACATTCTATAGTTAGAACTCAGGGRGCGGGGATCTTCTTAGACCTGGAAATCCATTATTGCAGAATTCTCCAGGTTGTGCTGCTTTCCCTCCAGGACCCTGGTTTCTGTGTGATATAGCAGCCTTAGTATCAGATAGGACTTTGGAAAAAAATGACCAAGKGTACAGAGGCCAAGCATGTGGTGTCCCTTCCCCACTCTGTCTCACATGGTAGGGCCATATGAGAAGGGTAGGGAAAAGCTGATATTGCAAAATGAGTCCCTATCTGCCCGCCTCTGGCATGTGGGCCCCATTGGGATGGCCACATGTCTTATGAGTTTGTGAGCAGTTATCTTTGTTCCTCATGTTGGGGCGTGTGGCTGCTCAGTCTTAGAGCTTTTGTTCACGGATCATGTGTAAGCAGTGGTAACCTCCCTTCAGAGGTGACTGAGAATATACAGCACACCACTTGGACTGTTTCCCATAATCTGAAACTGTGTCTTCCTGATTGTTACATAGTTTTAATGGGGTGCTACACACTCTCAGAAATTGTTTACTGATGGGTGATTCTATTAATAGTAAAAGCCTGTCCACTCTTCTAAGGGTTGTTCATTATCTCAGTCCCACCAAAAGTTCACTTCTGTCCCTTAGGCCTTTTCTTAAATAATTTTGCTCTTTTCTCCTAATCACCCTCTGTGTTTCTTTCCTGGAAGGTATCCTTATAGTCTTTGTATCTTGGAAACCTGTAGACTTTAGAAGGATCAAGATGTGGACATTAACTCCTGTCCTGGTATCTTTACCTGTCTTTTTAGACTGTCCCCACCTTGCTTCCAGCATGAAAGGGAACTGTCCTTAATTGGCAGCCCAGTAAATTCAGACTCTTTGGCTTCTTGAAGCCTGTAAACTCGATTATAGAACTGTCTTTTCACCTAAGCTACAAAAGATGCCCACAGACTTGTGCCTTCCTCCTGAACAGCTCCCGGACTCTGAATTAGATCTGTCTTTTGTGGCTCTGTCCTTTGCCCATGCTGTCTGTGTCACTTCCTGGAGCTAAGTCCTCCTTACCTGTCAAAACCCAGATAATGCAGGTGTTGGCTCCAGGATACCTTCCCTGAGCCTTCTTTCCTTGTGGRTAGGGACCCAGATACCCTGTGTTGGGCTCCCTGAGAGCTAGAACCGGTACCACCTCTTTGTCCTCCAGCACTTGGGACCCTGGCATGCAGGAAGTGTATCTTGAATGCCTATTAAAATGATTAAGTTCACACAGTTCCATCTTGGCTAGCTGTCTTGCTGTCTTATTAGGTCTGAAGGTGTTTGTGGAGAACCTGAGCTCCTGGCCTTCAGGGCTCCTGGCCTTCAGGGCATACCTTACTCGGGCACCTTGCTGGGAACTCAGACCTGTCAAAATTATGTGCTACTAACTTTTGAATGAGTTCTTTTCCATGTGCCCTGATGGGGGAGTATTTTTCCATGACTGACTTTTTGGCAGACCCTTAGAGCTCAAAAGATAAAGATGCTGAATTAGTTGAGTCTTGTTCCAGCCCCAGCGCAGCTCCTCCCTTCCTATGGGTAGGCCAGATTAGACCAAGAAATGTCTTCTGCCCAGGAAAGGGA